TCAAGCACATGCTTGATGTTGCGATTGACTTGCTTCGTGGGGTTCGGCTGAGCATGGTAGGTGGTTGTATTCTTGTGCTTGATGCCCAACGCAACGCACGTGTCAACAAACACCTTCGCAGTGAAATAGGACGCATTATCTGTAATCAACTGCTCATAGAACGCGAACCTGGTGAACACCTCCATCAACTTCTCTACGATCACTCGAGCTGTCGGCTCCCTAAGGGGGATAAGTTCCACCGATTTAGTGAAGTGATCTGTGATCACCAGCAAGAGCTTGTTTCTGCCGGGAGTTGTGGGGTACGGGCCCATTACGTCACATGCTGCGATTTGCCAGGAAGTCTGACAGTTAATCGGTTCCATAAGGCCGGGCGGACGTCCGTCTCGTGGCTTGACGCTTTGGCACAGACGACATGAACAGGCGTAGCGAACAGGCGTAGCGAACAGGCGTAGCCAGGTAGCGAGGCGACAAAACTTAGCATTGCACGAGTCATGAAAGTAGTGAAGAAGTGCTCCTCCCAACGTGCACGGTATCACGAGTTGGAATAACTGACTTGTGTCATCTTCGAATGGGATGTACCCAAGCAGGATGTCATCAGAATCTAGCAGATAATTCTAGCGTGCTCACAGCACTACCAACTCTTGTCGAGAGCTCTGCACTGACAACAATACCAGCTGCTCCCGTGTGTGTGGTAGCCTCACTGCCATCCGGTTACCGGAGCGCGTCGAACACCTTTCGCCAAAACAGACCTTTTTTTTTTTTTTAACTTCTAACAGTTTCCTTCTGCCGAAAATAATCCCTGCGCTAATGAATTCCTCTACGTGGTTCACACTTTTGCCTGGAACTAACAATTGCTCTGCAGTTTTGTTTCGCTCTCAGTTTGTTTCCTGTTATTCGCATGACTTGCCTAGTGTCGGACGGGAGCACGCAATAGTGCATTGGCCACGGCATTGTTCTTACCCTTGCGGTAGCGAACGGTGAAGTCTTAACACTGCAGTAGCAATGCCCAACGAACCAGGTGGCCACATGGTTCATTCAAGCGCCTGGACCACGTGAGAGCCACGTGGTCAGTCTCTATCACAAACGCAACTTCGTTGATGTAAAAATCAAACAATAGCGAGAACTATCGCAAGACACTCTCGGTTACCAAGTAACTCTTCTCCGCCGGCGTCAACGAACGGCTCGCGAACGCGATCGGTCGGAGGGCACTTGCATTCTCCTGAAGCAGAATCGCTCCTAAGCCCAGGTCGCTTGTGTCTGTGCGAATCACAAACTCCCTGTTCAAATTGTGTAGCTGCAGCTCAGCTGTGTTGGCCAGCAACTTCGTGAGGCGTCGCAGTATGGCCTCCTGCTCTTGGCTTCAAGCCCAGCGCTCGCCATTCCTCAAAAACTTCGTCGAAGGCGCCTGCACTGCCGTGCAGTCTTGAATGAACTGGCGATAAGAGTTTACCATCCCCAGAAAGCGCCTCACCTCAATGATATTGTTCGGCGATAGATAGCTGACTGTCACTTCAAGCTAGATAGCTGACTGTCACTTTTATCCGGCAAAATGCGACCTTCGTCAAGTGACTCCCAATAATGTTACTCGGGTCGCCGCTATCTTGGCTTTGTATGGGTTCAGAGGGATGCCTGCAGACCTCAGCCCAGAACGTCTCTCAAGTGAACGTCTGGAACGTCTCTCAAGTGGGGCAAGGGCTCCTCGAACGTTTTTGAGTAAACCATCATGTCGTCTAGATATGTGAGGGTATGCTGCCACTTTGCATACACCAAAACACGATCCATACATTGCAGGAGCTCTCACCAAGCCAAAAGACATTCTCCTGAATTGGAAAAGTCTACTGTGGCTTGTGAACACAATTTCTTTTTGTCCTGCTCGTCCATGTAAACCTGAAATATCCACAGCTAGCATAGAGCGTTGTGAAGTACTTTGTCTCACCTAGGTTAGATACTAACGATGAAATGGATGGAAGAGGGTACACATCCTTTTTCGTAGCCTTGTGTAGCCTGCGATAGTCTGCACAGAAGCGATTTGTACTATCCTTCCTTGTAAATAGAACAATCAGGAAACCAAGTTGCCAGGCAAAACGTAAGGAAGGCGGTCAGTCCACAATGAAGAATTCTATTGGTGGTGGCGTGGTATGAAGCAGTCTTAATGTGCCTTGATGTGGTTGATACTGAGGTTCGGAAACAATGTGCAGTCTGATTGGCAACCGCGATCTGACGTAATGGGGAAACGGACACTGTAGCGGCTAATCCACAAAGTGACGAATGCTTTAGCTGTTCGCTTCGCAGGTATGTATTAAAGAAGCATTGCTTCAAGCCATTTTGTGAACCTTTCAGTGCAGGTTAAAAAGTAGCGTAGTTCCTGCATGGAGGGAAGAGACTGACGATGTCAGTGTGTAGGTGGCTGAAGTGAGCATCCTGGGAAGAGAATGTGCCTAGAGGAGTGACAGTGTGTCAATGCACTTAAAACTTTTGACACCTAAGGCACGTGTATGACCAACGATTGTATACATTAATGTTTGGCGACACGTAATGGGAAAGGGTGAGCCGCTGTGTGGCACGAATGCCAGAGTGGGCCACAGAATGCAGGGCATCAAAGACTGCTCGATGGAATAGCAGAGGTACATAGGGACGAGGAGGTTTTGTTGACGTATCATGTCCCGGCTAGAAATTTTGTTTCCACAAATAAGTATTTTATCTGAAGCTATTGAGGCAGACACGAACAAGAGGAGGTGCAGCCATCTCGTTCTTGGTGCATCAATGTGTTCTAGTCAGATTCTTGTGGGCTGCACTAGTGCACTACAAACTTATTGCAGTGAAGGCGCTTGCTACTTGCGATTTTCTTCAAGCTTAGAATATATTCTATCCTTCAGAGAGCACGAAGTTGTGGTTTTGAAGTGACTTTTTTTTTTCCATGTATGCCTTTCTGTTATTCCAAAGTGGTTGGAATGAAAGTATGCCCATGTTGTCACTGTTTTGCTGTGATAGGTAAATTATATGTAGCTGCCCATAACAGCTTTTTTCATTCTTGAGATCATGGAGCCCTGTAATAATCTGAAACAAGTGGTGATGCCCTTATTATATGCAATGGAGTTGGCTTGAACGTTGTGAGTGGAGTATGTTTTGGGAGGATACATACAGCAGTAATTACGCGAGAGTTTGTTGCGCTTGGATCTGCTGCTACACTCTACATCTTGTTTTCCGCCACTTACATGTTATATTAGGGACCACTTTTCTGGTGAAGTAGTGCACTGATCAGTGTAATGACAACATGTAGGCAGCTGCTGCGGTATTACCGTAATTACTCGAATCTAATGCGCACCTTTTTTCCGGTTAAGCGAGTTCATAAATCGCATGCGCGTTAGAATCGAGTACGAACAAAAAAATTACGGCCAATCTATTGCCATCGGCAAACCTAAAATGGCCGCCCCCTACGTGCGTCGGCATGGCGCGTCGTCCATTTCTGCCTATGTGTTTCTCATGTGCGGCACTTCGTACGTGTGCTGAGGAGTTCGTCATCTAGTAGTGCATTAGCATCGACGGCGTGGAATGGCCGACTCCAAAAACTCGAGTGCACCACGATGCCGCTTTTAAAAGAAAAGTCATCGCGTGTGCAGAAACGGACGGAAATCGGGCCGCATCGCGGTCGTTCGGAGTTCCCGAAGCGTGCGTGCGGGACCGGCGGAAACAAAAGCAGAAGATTTTCGACAGCAAAGCTTTACGCAAAGGCTTCAGTGGACCACAGCAGGGTCGGTTTCCGCAAATTAAAGAGCTGCTCGGCGAGTATGTGCTTTAGCAGCGAGCAGCACAGCGGCCCGTGACGGCAGAACTGCTCCAAGTGCGGGCTATGCAATTAGTCTTAAAAAAAGGTCTAATGCGGAGCCAGTTTAAAGCGAGCAGGTGCTGGCTAACTAACTTAATGAAGAGGAAAGGCTTTTCCCTCCGAAGGGGAACATGCTTATGCGAAAATTTTTGCGGAGGAGTACGATGAAAAGCTTCACAGTTTTCAGAGGTTCGTCCTAAACTTGCGGCGCAACAACGACTACCTGCTTGGGCAAATCGGGAATGCCGATCAGACGCCTCTTTACTTCGACATGCCTGGCACCACAACCGTCGAGAAGAAAGGGGCGAAGCAAGTTCGCGTGCTGACATCGGTCCACGGTAAAACAACAGTGACGGCAATGCTCTGTTACACGTCAGATGGGCACAAGCTTCGCCCGTACCTCATATTTAAATGGAAGACGCTCCCGAAAGGAGTCATTTTTTCGGGTGGTGTGATCATGCGGGCCAGCGAGAAAAAATGGGTGCGCGTTGCAATCGATGTCTTACATTTTTTTTTTTTTCGCGGTGGAAATCGGGTGCGCGTTACAATCGAGGGCGCGGTAGAATCGAGTAAATACGGTAGGCTATACTGGCAGCACCGCAAGATGGATACTTGCATGCCTGCTCGGGAGGGATTAGGAGGGGTGCATTCGTCCTCCTCTTCTGGAAAAAAAAATTTTACTCTTATTTGGTTTTAAAAATGTGCTTTTGAAAACCCGATGTTGCTCAAGCAGTGGCAGAAGCATAAAGTTCACTTTAATGGTTTCATCTTCCTATGCCGCTGTATTAAAATATTTTATTGTAGTGAGATTGCAAAGTCTTTATAAGAGTCTCTGATGTAACTGAGTGCCTATATTGAAGTAGGGGTTGATCAGAAAACAATGTGGTTTCCTGCTTATAAGGAAACAATTGTCTGTTTAGGTTAATACTGTGTCTATAAAGAAAAAAAGTGAGCCCTTGAAATTCTCTTTTTTTTCTCTGAATGTACAGCTTGATACATAAGCGGACGTGTAGGCTTACTTTGTCCCAAATACGGCAGACTTTCGCTATATTGCTGTTGCCTCTACACAGGAATATTTATGTACGGGGCAGGTATGCTGCTCTTTTTCAGAACTCGCCTGATAATTTTGCCGTAGGTGCGGTCGTTATTTGTGAAAGACACGCTGCGTGTGCAGGTGAACGAGTCGTCGACGAACATTGGCTCCCAAGGGGAGGTACTGTCTCGGCGATGCGTGGCACTTCTCAAGACTGCTCTCAAGCCAGACGTGTGGCCCAATTCGGAACTCAAGCTGGCCTGGTTCGACAAACTCCTCATGACTGTGGTACGTGTGGGGCGTCAGTTAAATGGGATGCAAAGGTTTTCCATGTCGAGGTGTGGCCAACTTGATTGCAAACATGCATATTGCTCTGTCTACTCTTCTATGTGTTCTTTATGCAGGCTCCATAATTTATTTTAACATAAATTCCTATCAACTTGCTCAGCTATCAGTCTAGTGCTTACTTAGGTACATTAGACAGACACTAATGAAATCCACTGTCGAATCGAATTCTACAGCCTACCTCACACACAGCAACCTCAATGCAAGGTGAACCACTTATAATGTAACCGTGATAGGGCAGAACTGGTTACAATGCAGTCTTTTTCGACTCTCAATCACCCCCCCATTGTTCATGTATATGCATACCGCTTATTGTGCAGTCCCCCAAAATGAGAGACTGGTGGTAATGTGGTTGCCAGGAAATCTTTGTGACAAACATGGTTGCTAGTGCGCATCTGAAAGGAGGCGCACTGGGAGCACTGCTGGAGAGCGAGCAACGAGGTCGTTATGAAGGCGGAGGAGATGTGGAGTGATCGAATTAGGGGTGGAGTGAAGAGACAGAAAAGGAATAAAGACTGCGGCACGCTGTGCGGGCTCGCCGAGGGCAGTTGCCGTGGTGACGGATAAGCCTTTGCATCCGCACCGACGCAGATTAGCATTGTTGGCGTAACTCCAGCTGCGCACGGCTTTACATGGCACGTGCGATTCCGTCGTTATCAACTGTGCTTGATAGTTTCCTGTTGGGAAAAGCGTCCTTGTTATCGTGCTTGCTACATATATTGTGTTTGCTACCTCGTTCGTAAATTTAAAACCTTTTTCGGCTTTGCAACGTAAAGTTTTGCCTTTGCTGGCAGTGCGTTTTAAGTAAGCTTGGTGGGTTTTCGTCATTGTTCATTTCTTGGCTGCGAGCGCAAGCTTCCTATCATGCACGCTGTTCTTAGTTCAGTGCTTGATTGCAGTCTTTTCGACGCCTAATCTTCATGTCTTGGAAAAAATTCTTGCGACAACCCACTGGATGGCAGTCTAGGCCTAATCAGTATTGGTTGCTTTTGGATAGCGGTCGCGTGCAATCTATGTTGCGGTTTGGTACAGAATCAACGAAACTCTTTGCGGTGAGTGCACTAGATGAGAAGGGATATATATACTAGCAATTGAAAATGAAGGTGGCAATTCTAGCGCTCAAATGGTGGTTCGCGATTCAATTGCGACGTCGTGAAATTGGGTGTGCTCCCATGAAATCGAACGAACGGCATCTTCGAGATTGTGAAATTCCAGATGTGATTCGACATTCAGTGTAATGTTCATAATTGAGGCGGTCTGAAAAGCAGTCAGCAAATTTCCATGATGGTGCTTTCTCTTTGTTAGACCCCCCTTTTTTTATGTTCACTGTGTTGCAACGCGTGTCTTTGGAAAGGCTGTAAGCTCCACACATCGCATGCTTCCATTCAAGGACACGCGAGGCTGCTTCCTCAACCTGTTTTGGGCAATTTCGGTCCTTGAAAAAGGTCGTTTTAGTTACGGTGCTGTAAGCTTGATACCTCATAATGTGTGGATATTCACGACTCCTGCAATTTGCATTATAAGTGGTCTATAATGTAAACTGAGTTGCATGGGGCACCTTAATGGCTTTTACTATATTCGAAAAATTTGTTAAAAACTTGTGTTCACAAACTGCATTGATGCTAAGGCCAATTCGTAGGGAGGATAGGGGTCTAGAAACAGTTGAAAATTGCCAGAATAATAGTTCCGAGAAAAGTGCATTTTCGCCTGTTTGTACCTCCAGGCAGCTCCCCTCTAAATATTATCGCAGATTTTGCATGGGAAATGGTTTAAAACTTCTTTTCTAGACACCGTGGGACCAACAAAACGCCTCACAAGAGGCAAAACTTGCTGCATGAACCACGAGCGCAGCGACTGGCCAATGGCCACCATCTTCTGTTTGTTTAGAAGCTGTTCTCTTTGTGTTGATTGCTTTGGTGGAACACCTGCTATATTCTACCGCTGCTATTTCTGCTTTTCCGAGGGCCAGTTTTTGAATGCTCTTCAGGCCAATGTTGCTAGAGTAAACTCAGCTTCAAAGCTCCGCTGGAGAGGCGGGCCATGTGGCAGTCACTCTTTTCAGGGGCATTCCTTGCTCTTGTGCTGATACAATGACTGCCGTGTATCCAGAAAAGCTGACTTTCAAGCAATTTCATGCATTGGATTCATAAAATCCTATGCAGTCTAACGGTTTCAGGCTGTACGTTAAGGAGCGTGTGGTCGATGAGTTCAACTAGCGAGGTTTGTTTTCTTCTTCAGGAAAAGATTGTTTTAATTTGGAAACCAAATAATTCATGCAAGTTGCCTGGTCCGGGCCAGCCTATACATTTTTCAGTGGCACTTTTCTGCATCTATGTGGAACATTTCGAAGAGCCCAAGAAGGATGTGCATTTTGAAGGTCTTCCAACTGTTCAGCTGCACCTGATGCAAGGACGATGGTTTTCTTACACTGCACCCAACAGAAGTATGGGACTCCTTTTCAGAGTGTCTAGCAACCTGAAAAAGCTGCAAAACCTGGAAAAGTCAGGGAATTCGGACCCTTCTGGAAAAGTCATGAAAAAGTCAGGGAACTTCAGAAAAACCTGGCCTGGTCATGGAAACTGACAAGAGCTCTGAGCTACAGTAACAAAAATAAGCAGTACCATTGATGAAAACTCAAAAAGTCTCTCTCTCTTCGCTGCAACTACAGTGAGCTGCTAGAAGGAGCGTGAAAAAAGAAAAAGACAGTGCATAACTCTTGCTTCTTAGTGTAAACACGAAAGGATACACTGACCAATAAAACATGAAGTTTACTGACATTTCAGCACCCGATATAAGAGGGGGCCTTGTCCACAATAAAAGGCATGAAAAAGGCACAGCGTACTTAAGTACACCTAAATACGTGACGTTAGCAGCGAGAGTACATTGCCAGGAGCATCTAGTCACGCCTGTTCAGCATATGTACAGTCCTCTGCATCTGGATTCCAAGTGCAGGCATGATGCAAACTTCTTTTAAATGCTGGACATTTTATAGTCCCACCTATTCGCAAATCCGGCGTCGGCAGTAGTGTCTGCACCCCTACTTCCCATGCTCGCGTTTCATACCAACTATCGCTCCCTTCCCCCCTCTCTCTCTCGCCTCGCGAAGCCCACGCGGGGAGCGTGTGCTGTCTGCTAGTAAAAACCAAATGCTCACGCTGCACAACCGCTCACTGACCACCCCATATATGCAGGCACTGGATCAGGCATTCGGAATTCAGTCAAGAGTGTCTATACTTGGCTTTTGCCTGACTTGATGCTTTGCTTGACATGAATAGATGCGATGGAAGCAACAGTACCTTCTACCAGTAGTGGGGCACAACCCAACATCATTGTCTCACCACTTGTTGAAGGCAACACTCCTTCATTCAATAAATACAGATAATAACGACAAAATAACAATTAAGCATATTCGAATCTTATCCAATTATGCTACATTTACACGGTACCCTCACCACTACGTGACGCATTTAGTGGAGTCCTCCACCCCCCCCCCCCCTACTTTTGAGAAAATGCAAGGTTTTTCTTCGTCCAGAACACACGAGTTTTACAAGTTTATTTGGTGGTCTGTAGATTCTGCGTGTTCAGCAAGGGCAGTGGAGGCCACGCGAAGTTCCGTGGCGTCATATTCCTGTTGTTTAAATTTTTTCTTGAAATTACCAGTTTAACCAATGTACTGGTTGTCACAATTGTGGCAGCCTATGGCATAAACAAGACCAAGCAAATTTGCGCTCGGCAGCTTGTTCTTAACATTGGCTAAAACATTCCTTAGCATCCATGTTGGTATATCCACTATTTTGATGTCTGTTGCTTCTACATATCACATGGTATGTCTGCCTTTCGAGCACGACCTTACTCACATCGGTAAATTTATGCATGTTTGTGGACTAATCCCCCAACAACATGGATTCCGTAGCGGTCACTCTTACGTGCTTTACTCACGTCAGTAAATTTATGCATGTTTGTGGACTAATCCCCCAACAACATTCATTCCGTAGCGGTCACTCTTGCATGACGCAACTGATAGAACTGGTACATGAAATGTCTAACGCTCTTGATAACAAACTGGTTGCAGACACGGTCATAATAAATTTCAAGATAGCTTTTGATCTCGTTCCCCACTCCTGGTTGATTGAAAAACTCGAATTATATAACATGAATACATCAGTTCTTACTTGTATCAAACATTACCTAAGTGCACGTAGTCAGAGGGTTATTGTTAACAACACAAGCTCTCACAAGACTGGAGTGACATCTGGAGTTCTGCAAGGTTCTGTTCTTGGCCCTTTGTTGTTTTTATTTTTTTAAGCGATATCAGTGACAGTCTCTCATCTTCTGTGCGATTATTCGCAAATGACTGGGTGTTATATAGAATAATCTATGGTCCAAGCGATTGTGCTTCATTGCAAGACGACTTGGACAGGTTGTTTAATCGGTGCAACATTGGGAAAAGGCGCATAAATTTTTATAAGACAGTACCGATGTCATTTTTAAGAAAGCAGATAAATAAAGAGTTTAGTTATAATCTAAATGGCAACCACAATACGTCAGTGAGAGAATTTACGTATTTAGGAGTATTCTTTACAGAAACGTTGTAAATACTGTGTAGTGAAGGCGGCAACCGGAAGGCCAAGAGATGGTGCCACAGGTAGTGCAGGCGCTGTCGTCATCATCATCATCATGAGGACGAAAAGGGCTGCCCTGGCAAGGCCTGGCAAGAAGTGTAAAATAAGTAGCGTGTCAACGAGACGGGTTGTGCGTGCTTCCTCCCTAAGAAGTAGGGTCTCGTCCGGGATCAAATGTATCACGTAGTCATTCCGGAGGAAGTAGTGCAATACAGTCGCCGACCGATTTTCCGGACTCCAAAAATTCGGACTTGTTGGATATTCCGGACTTCATAAATGCACCGTCAGGGATCCCATAGAGCTAATGCATTGTTTCGACCG